TTCTGTAGATGCCACTCGTTCGTCACGTTCTGTAGATGTAGATGCCACTGGTTCTTCACGTTCTGCAGATGTAGATGCCACTGGTTCTTCACGTTCTGCAGATGTAGATTCTACTGGTTCTTCACGTTCTGCAGATGTAGTTGCCACTGGTTCTTCACGTACTGCAGATGCCACTGGTTCTTCACGTTCTGTAGATGTAGATGCCACTGGTTCTTCACGTTCTGCAAATGTAGATGCTACTGGTTATTCACGTTCTGCAGATGTAGATGCCACTGGTTGTTCACGTTCTGTAGATGTAGATGCCACTGGTTATTCACGTTCTGCAGATATAGATGCCACTGGTTGTTCACGTTCTGCAGATGTAGATGCCACTGGTTCTTGACGTACTGCAGATGCATATGCCACTGGTTCTTCACGTTCTGCAGATGTAGATGCCACTGGTACTTCACGTTCTGCAGATGTAGATGCCACTGGTTCTTCACGTTCTGTAAATGTAGATGCCACTGGTTATTCACATTCTGAGATGTAGATGCCACTAGTTCTTCACGTTCTGTAGATGTAGATGCCACTGGTTCTTCACGTTCTGCAGATGTAGATGCCACTGGTTCTTCACGTTCTGCAGATGTAGATGCCACTGTTTCTTCACGTTCTGTAGATGCCACTGGTTCTTCACGTTCTGTAGATGCCACTGGTTCTTTGCGTTCTGCAGATGTAGATGCTACTGGCTCTTCCCGTTCTGAAGATGTAAATGCCACTGGATCTTCACGTACTGCAGATGCCACTGGTTCTTCACGTTCTGCAGATGTAGATGCCACTGGTTCTTCACGTTCTGCAGATGTAGATGCCACTGGTTCTTCACGTTCTGCAGATGTAGATGCCACTGGTTATTCACGTTCTGCAGATGTAGATGCCACTTGTTCTTCACGTTCTGCAGATGTAGATGCCACTGGTTCTTCACGCACTGCAGATGGAGATGCCACTGGTTCTTCACGTTCTGCAGATGTAGATGCCACTGGTTTTTCATGTTCTATAGATGTAGATGCCACTGGTTCTTCACGTTCTGCAGATGTAGATGCCACTGGTTCTTCACGTTCTGCAGATATAGATGCCACTGGTTCTTCATGTTCTATAGATGTAGATGCCACTGGTTCTTCACGTTCTGCAGATGTAGATGCCATTGGTTCTTCACGTTTTGCAGATATAGATGCCACTGGTTCTTCACGTTCTGCAGATGGAGATGCCACTGGTTCTTCATGTTCTGTAGATGTAGATGCCACTGGTTTTTCATGTTCTATAGATGTAGATGCCACTGGTTCTTCACGTTCTGCAGATGTAGATGCCACTGGTTCTTCACGTTCTGCAGATATAGATGCCACTGGTTCTTCACGTTCTGCAGATGTAGATGCTACTGGTTCTTCACGTTCTGCAGATATAGATGCCACTGGTTCTTCACGTTCTGCAGATGTAGATGCCACCACCGCCGTCTATTACGTGACGCGGTTGAACTTACGACTCTCAGTCCGAACAGGCAACTGGACGTACGGGACAGGTTTGTTCGCATTTCTGAAAGTTCATAACTCGAACGTTCGTAAGGAGAGGAGTCCCTGTATTTAGAGAAACAAGTGAATGCATTTTGTCACCAGGGGTGTCGGGGGGGGGGGTGGCTGGGTGGTCCGTGGGCTCATAAAAGTTTGAGAAACACTGCTCAAGAGGGAGGGTGGGAGGTCGAACCCCTCGGGCCCCATGTGCCCCCCCCCCCCAATTTTTTTTTACATCCACCGGTGCCACCCCGTGGTGAGAGTTGCTTGGCCCCGGCCCTGCGCCGTGGAGTGGAGGTAAACGAGTGACTGCGCCACGGGGAAGGCGAGCGGAGGGGGAGGTCAATGCTGCCTCTTCATTAAAGGTCTCTACCACTTTTCGTATAAGGAAAATAATGAAAATAAAACAATAAAATGAAATTCTCACGACGTTTCGGCCACAACGCAAGCAGCCGACCTCGGGTGAAGAAACGGAGCTGTCGGAAAGACAGCGTCAAGACGGCTGCTTCCGTTGTGGCCGAAACGTCGTGAGAATTTTATTTTATTAGGTCTCTACCACCTCCATTACCCAGGGCCCCCCCCATAAGGAGGGGGGGCCCTGGGTGGTTTTCAATTGTTGGGTGGGGGGGGGGGCAGGACGCCTGGCTGGGTTGAGGGGGCCCATCTGTGCTCGTGTTGCTGTTGCAATGTAGGCTCCTATTTAATGACGAGTACCCACGTGCTTTGTGAAACTTTGTGTAGAGGCGCTTACCACAGTCGTCGTCGTCGTCAGTATTGGAGGAGTCGTCTCCCTCGCTTAGGCTAGCTGCTTGTGAACACTACGATTATTATTATCAACATTAACAATAAACACGTGGTGCCGAGACCCACCAAGTCCGACTCCTGCTGCTGCTGCACGCGAACCGCGTGGAGGGGACACACGGAGAGGGGGGGACACGGGACACGTTCAGGCATTGAGGAGTGAGACAGGGACAACGGTCAGTCACAGAGATGAGAGGAGAGAGATGACACAGGGACATTTAAAGAGACCGTGGGCACGCGTAAATTAGGGTCGGTCATTTTTCAAAGGCGCATGCATGGTCAGACAAGCACGGGGGGGGGGGGGGGGGGGGGGGGGGGGGGGGGGTGGGAGACACGGGATTCACTGTGCTGGTGCGGCCAAGGGGACTGTGGCCTCCACTCTGCGGCCTTCACCAGACCCTGGGGCCCCTGATGGCGGCCTCTGGGCCCGCGGTAACCCCCTTCCCCCCCACCGCGTTCCGGCCGAACTACTAATGTCGCGGGCGGCGGTACCCGGGGTCAGACGCGATGACCCCGCGGCCTCGGCTGAGTTACGAGGGGGCCAGCGGCGAAGGCCGCTCGACCCGAATTCGCTCGCTGGCCTCACTACAACAATCACCACAAACACCAACAACAATCACAACAATCACCACAAACACAACAATCACAACAATCACGAGAATCACCACAACTACCACAACAATCACCACAAACACCAGCAACAATCACAACAACCACCACAACAATCACCACAAACACCAACAACAATCACGAGAATCACCACAACCACAACAATCACAACAATCACGAGAATCACCACAATCACCACAACAATCACCACAAACACCAACAACAATCACAACAATCACCACAACAATCACAACAATCATCACAATCACCACAAACACCAACAACAATCACAACAATCACCACAACAATCACAACAATCATCACAATCACCACAAACACCACAACAATCACCAGATTCACCACAACCACCACAACAATCACAACAATCATCACAATCACCACAACAATCACAACAATCATCACAATCACCACAACAATCACAACAATCATCACAATCAACCACAACAATCACAACAATCATCACAATCACCACAAACACCACAACAATCACCAGATTCACCACAACCACCACAACAATCATCACAATCACCACAACCACCACAACAATCACAACAATCATCACAATCACCACAAACACCAACAACAATCACCAGATTCACCACAACCACCACAACAATCATCACAATCATCACAATCACCACAAAAATCACAACAATCATCACAATCACCACAAACACCAACAACAATCACCAGATTCACCACAACCACCACAACAATCATCACAATCACCACAAACACCAACAACAATCAACACAACCACCACAACAATCACCACCACAACAATCACAACTACCAGAACAATCACAATAAGCATCACAACCACCACCACAATAACCACAACAACGACCACAACAACCACAAAAATCACCAAAACCACCACACCACAACAACCGCCATTCGCCACTAAGTGGTGGTGACGTCACCACGACGCTTGTGCCAGGCTAGGTGCACCTTGAGGCCACGTGAAGTGTCGAACGCTCGCTGGCAGGAGGTCACGGGGCAGACCCAGCAGGTGCCACGGGTCGACTGACCGAGATGACTGAGACGACTGGCTGATGCACCACCTGTGCCCCCTACTGTGCCAACTTGCTGTGCTTTAGCCACCCGGCGCTCCGCTCGTTGTTGTGAGCGTCGCTCCTCCGCCCTCTGCTGTTGCTGGAGGGCGACTGCCTCCAATTGCCCAGCAGCGTCCTTCACGAGCCTCCTCTATCACCACAACAACAACAACAACAGCCACACCGTGGAGGTGACGTCACCACGGCGCGATGGTTTGGTGGTTGCTGTTGTTGTGGTGGTTGGTGGTTGCTGTTGTTGGTGGTTGTTGTTGTAGTTGCTGCTGTTGGTGGCGTTCTGCACCGGGGTCGGAGAGGCGGGTCGAGTGGGCGGGGCGAAGTGGGGTGGGTGGCGGGGCGAAGGGGGGTGGTGGGCCGAGTGGGCGGGGCGAAGGGGGGTGGGTGGGCCGAGTGGGCGGGGCGAAGGGGGGTGGGTGGGTCGAGTGGGCGGGGCGAAGGGGGGTGGGTGGGCCGAGTGGGCGGGGCGAAGGGGGGTGGGTGGGCCGAGTGGGCGGGGGCGAAGGGGGGTGGGTGGGCCGAGTGGGCGGGGCGAAGGGGGGTGGGTGGGCTGAGTGGGCGGGGCGAAGGGGGTGGGTGGGCTGAGTGGGCGGGGCGAAGGGGGGTGGGTGGGCTGAGTGGGCGGGGCGAAGGGGGGTGGGTGGGCCGAGTGGGCGGGGCGAAGGGGGGTGGGTGGGCCGAGTGGGCGGGGCGAAGGGGGGTAGGTGGGCTGAGTGGGCGGGGCGAAGGGGGGTGGGTGGGCTGAGTGGGCGGGGCGAAGGGGGGTGGGTGGGCTGAGTGGCGGGGCGAAGGGGGGTGGGTGGGTCGAGTGGGCGGGGCGAAGGGGGGTGGGTGGGTCGAGTGGGCGGGGCGAAGGAGGGTGGGTGGGCTGAGTGGGCGGGGCGAAGGGGGGTGGGTGGGTCGAGTGGGCGGGGCGAAGGGGGGTGGGTGGGCCGAGTGGGCGGGGCTAAAGGGGGTGAACCCAGTGGGCGGTTGGGACGAGGGGGGCGGGCTGTGGGGGCGGTGACACTCGGGAAGGGGGTGGGGCGTGTTGGTGACGTCACGAGTTGATGCGGCGGTGACATCACGAGGAGGAGGAGGAGGACGAGAGGCGTTTATTGCTCACGGGCTCCCGCTTCCGTCCCCGGCTGTCTCCCCTCCGTGTCTCCCCCCCCTAACAACAACACATCGCCGCTGCTCCCCGTGTCTTCTCGCCCGCCCGCCGCTGAGCCTCTCCCCCCGCCGTCGGTTTATGGTCTCAGGCGCGGGGCTCCCGCGAGGGGCGTCCCGTCGCGCCGCGCAGTGACCGGCGCCGGCCGCCGCCGTTGCCGCCAGGACAATGGATTCGGACGAGGGCTTCATCTACGATGAAGACGAGGTGTACAGCGAGGAGGAGACCGACGAGGACGACGACGAAGACGAGACGTCCGAGATGGGCGAGGTGGAGATGCAGGAGCCCGTGCTCGAGGCCGGCCAAGCCGGCGACGGGGACGAGTTCCCGCACGAGGTGCTCACGGCCGAGCAGGTGGTGCAGCACATGGTGGAGTGCATCAAGGAGGTGAACGAGGTGATCGAGGTGAGCGGAGAGAGGTCGGGGTGGGTGATGCGACGCTGTCTAGGGGGCCCCCCTCTTGGGAGCTTGGGACAGGCCGATGGGGTCGGGCTGTCACGGGGAGGGTTGTCTCTCCGATGGGCGTACGGAGACTCGCTGTCTAGAAGACACGGCGAGATCTGTCTCCCCGTGTAATGAGAGAGAGAGAAGGGGGGGGGTGCTTGGCTCCAGGAAGACAGGAACACACGGGGAGACGAGGCACAGAAAGACACAAACACAGGAGTGACGATGACATGGGGAGACACAGTGAGACTCGGAGATAAACAGACACAGGAAGACAATGACACGGGGAGATCGAGACACAGGGACGCTGAGCCATAGAGATGAACGCGGAAACGGAGACACAGGGACACGGGAATACCTACACAGGGAGGGAGACACGGGGAGACACGGGGACATACGAGACAGACACGGGGACACACAGCTGTAGGGAGACACGGGTAGATGGGAGACACAGGAGGACACACCGCAGTAGGGAGACACGGGTCGATGGGGAGACACGGGTACATGAGGAGACACAGCGACGGAAGGGAGAGAGACACGAGGACACAGATGTAGAGAGACACGGGTAGATGGGGAGACACAGGAGGACACACCGCAGTAGGGAGACACGGGTCGATGGGGAGACACGGGTACGTGGGGAGACACACGAGGACACCGCAGTAGGGAGACACGGGTCGATGGGGAGACACGGGTACGTGGGGAGACACGGGTACGTGGGGAGACACACGAGGACACCGCAGTAGGGAGACACGGGTACATGGGGAGACAGAGAGAGACACAAGGACGCAGCTGTAGGGAGACACGGGTACATGGGGAGACAGAGAGAGACACAAGGACGCAGCTGTAGGGAGACACGGGTACATGGGGAGACAGAGAGAGACACGAGGACGCAGCTGTAGGGAGACACGGGTACATGGGGAGACAGAGAGAGACACGAGGACGCAGCTGTAGGGAGACACGGGTACATGGGGAGACAGAGAGAGACACGAGGACGCAGCTGTAGGGAGACACGGGTACATGGGGAGACAGAGAGAGACACGAGGACGCAGCTGTAGGGAGACACGGGGGTGGAAGGGGGTGGAGGGGTGCCCGCGGCCCGGGTCGTCTGTCTGGCCCCGGCTGTAAGATGGCGGCTCCCCCGCGTCTCCCCCGCGGAGGCCGCGACTTGTGGAGTTGCGAGGCTGCGGCTCGCGAGGAGCCGCGGGGCCGCGGGCTCCGTCTCCCCGGAGTCCGTGCCCAGGCCCCGCGCCGCCTGCGCCATCAAAATCCAGCCGAGTCACCCGTGCCGGGCCGAAGCCTCGGGCACTCCTTGCGGCCTAGCGGGAGCAGGCGGCCTCGGGCGTGGGGAAGAATCAGGAAAGTGCCTAGGCTGCTCGTCAGCGAGTAGGCCTCGTCTGGTCGAGTTTCCAACGGCAAAAAACGGCGAAACCAGCGGGGGGAGAGGAGGGGGGAGAGAGACAGGGAAGGGGGAGACGGGAGATAGACAGAGAACAGGGGTACACAGAGAAGGGAGAGACAGAAGAGAGACAGGGAAGGGGGAGAAGGGGGAGAAGGGGGATAGACAGCGAAGGGGGAGAGACGGGAGATGGACAGAGAAGGGGGTACACAGAGAAGGGAGAGACAGAAGAGAGACAGGGAAGGGGGAGAAGGGGATAGACAGCGAAGGGGGAGAGACGGGAGATGGACAGAGAAGGGGGGTACACAGAGAAGGTAGAGACATAAGAGAGACAGGGAATGGGGAGACGGGAGAAGGGGGGTAGACAGAGAAAGGAGAGACAGAAGAGAGACAGCGAAGGGGGAGAGAGAAGAGAGACAGAGAAGGGGGAGACGGGGAAGAGAGACGGGGAAGGGGGAGAGAAGGGAGATAGACAGAGAAGGGGCATAGACAGAGAAGAGAGACAGGGAAGGGGGAGACGGAAGAAAGGGGATAGACAGCGAAGGGAGAGGCAGAGAAGAGAGACAGGGAAGGGGGAGAGAGACTGGGGATATACAGAGAAGGGAGAGACAGAAGAGAGACAGGGAAGGGGGAGACGGGAGAAGGGGGATATACAGAGAAGGGAGAGACAGAGAAGAGAGACAGGGAAGGGAGAGAGACGGGAGATAGACAGAGAAAGGGGGTACACAGAGAAGGGGGATAGACGGAAAAGAGAGACAGGGAAGGGGGAGAAGGGGACTAGACAAGAGAAGGAAGAAAGGGTAGAGACGGAGAAGAGAGAAGGGAGATAGACAAGAGAAGAGAGACAGGGAAGGGAGAGAGACGGGAGATAGACAGAGAAAGGGGGTACACAGAGAAGGGGGATAGACGGAAAAGAGAGACAGGGAAGGGGGAGAAGGGGAATAGACAAGAGAAGGAAGAAAGGGTAGAGACGGAGAAGAGAGAAGGGAGATAGACAAGAGAAGAGAGACAGAGAAGGGGGAGAGACAGAGAATGAAGAGGGGGGATAGACAGAGAATAGAGACATGGAAGGGGGAGACGAGAGAAGGGGCATCTACAGAGAAGGGAGACAGGGAAGGGCAGCGAAGGGGGATAGACAGAGAAGGGGGGAGACAAAGAATGGCAGAGCAGGGAGGGGGGAGAGACAGAGAAGGGAGACGGGGAAGGGGGAGACATGGAATGGCTAGACAGAGAGGGGGGGGGGGGACGAAGATGGGGGAGAGACAGAGAATAGAGACATAATCGAGAGGGAGAGACAGAATAGAGAGAGACAGAATAGAGGGAGAGACAGAATAGAGAAGAGATAGAATATAGAGACAGAATAGAGGGAGAGACAGAATAGTGAGAGACAGAATAGAGAGGGAGAGACAAGAGGGAGAAGAGGGAGAGACAGAGAATAGAGCGACAGAGAAAAGAGAAGAGGGAGAGACAGAAGAGAGAGACAGAGAAAAGGGGGAAACCGAGAAAGGTAGAGACAAAGCAGAATACAGAAGGGAGAGAGAGAAACAAGAGAGTGGAGCAAAGACAGTCCACCACGGCACGATGGAGGGAAAGACAGCCGGTGCAGTAGGATTAGAGAGGACTCGGGGGGTTTCCGAGGGGTGCAGGGGACGTGAGCGCTCGCGCCATGGGTGAGATGAGTGAAGGTTGGAACATTGGGACCGCGACATGAACCATACATTAAATATAACCAGCCATGCTCAATCCACTGGTGGATTAAGCCCCCCTCTCTCCCCCCCCCCTAAGCTGCCGCCACCTCTCACGATCATGCGCTGTAACATCCACCCAGCACATGGCACCTGAGCTGAATTAATGAGCCCCTACATTACCCTACATGACCCTTTACACTACCCCCTACAGGACCCTGACACTACCCCCTACAGGACCCTGACACTACCCCCTACAGGACCTGAACTACCCCTACAGGACCCTGACACTACCCCCTACAGGACCCTGACACTACCCCCTACAGGATCCTGACACTACCCCCTACAGGACCCTGACCCTACCCCCTACAGGCCCTGACACTACCCCCTACAGGACCCTGACACTACCCCCTACAGGACCCTGACACTACCCCTTACAGGATCCTAACACTACCCCTACAGGATCCTGACACTACCCCCTACAGGACCCTGACACTACCCCTACAGGATCCTGACACTACCCCTACAGGATCCTGACACTACCCCTACAGACCCTGAACACCCCTACAGGATCCTGACACTACCCCCTACAGGATCCTGACACTACCCCCTACAGGATCCTGACACTACGCCCTACAGGACCCTGACACTACCCCCTACAGGACCCTGACACTACCCCTACAGGATCCTGACACTACCCCCTACAGGACCCTGACACTACCCCTACAGGACCCTGACACTATCCCTACGGGACCCTGACACTACCCCTACAGGATCCTGACACTACCCCCTACAGGACCCTGACACTACCCCTACAGGACCCTGACACTACCCCATACAGGACCCTGACACTACCCCCTACAGGACCCTGACACTACCCCTACAGGACCCTGACACTACCCCCTACAGGACCCTGACACTACCCCTACAGGATCCTGACACTACCCCTACAGGACCCTGACACTACCCCCTACAGGACCCTGACACTACCCCTACAGGACCCTGACACTACCCCTACAGGACCCTGACACTACCCCCTACAGGACCCTGACACTACCCCCTACAGGACCCTGACACTACCCCCTACAGGACCCTGACACTACCCCTACAGGACCCTGACACTACCCCCTACAGGACCCTGACACTACCCCTACAGGATCCTGACACTACCCCTACAGGACCCTGACACTACCCCCTACAGGACCTGACACTACCCCTACAGGACCCTGACACTACCCCTACAGGACCCTGACACTACCCCCTACAGGACCCTGACACTACCCCTACAGGACCCTGACACTACCCCTACAGGACCCTGACACTACCCCCTACAGGACCTGACACTACCCCCTACAGGACCTGACACTACCCTACAGGATGCTGACACTACCCATACAGGACCCTGACACTACCCCCTACAGGACCCTGACACTACCCCCTACAGGACCCTGACACTACCCTTACAGGATCCTGACACTACCCCTACAGGACCCTGACACTACCCCCTACAGGATCCTGACACTACCCCCTACAGGATCCTGACACTACCCCTACAGGATCCTGACACTACCCCTACAGGGTCCTGACACTACCCCCTACAGGATCATGACACTATCCCCTACAGGATCCTGACACTATCCCCTACAGGACCCTGACACTACCCCTACAGGACCCTGACACTACCCCTACAGGATCCTGACACTACCCCCTACAGGATCCTGACACTACCCCTACAGGACTCAAACACTACCCCCTACAGGACCCTGACACTACCCCCTACAGGACCCTGACACTACCCCCTACAGGACCCTGACACTACCCCCTACAGGATCCTGACACTACCCCTACAGGACTCAAACACTACCCCCTACAGGACCCTGACACTACCCCCCTACAGGATCCTGACACTACCCCCTACAGGATCCTGACACTACCCCTACAGGACTCAAACACTACCCCCTACAGGACCCTGACACCACCCCTACAGGACCCAACACTACCCCCTACAGGACCCTGACACTACCCCCCTACAGGATCCTGACACTACCCCCTACAGGATCCTGACACTACCCCTACAGGACTCAAACACTACCCCCTACAGGACCCTGACACTACCCCTACAGGACCCAAACACTACCCCCTACAGGACCCTGACACTACCCCCCTACAGGATCCTGACACTACCCCCTACAGGATCCTGAAACTACCCCTACAGGACCCAAACACTACCCCCTACAGGACCCTGACACTATCCCCCTACAGGATCCTGACACTACCCCCTACAGGATCCTGACACTACCCCTACAGGACCCAAACACTACCCCCTACAGGACCCTGACACTACCCCCTACAGGATCCTAACACTACCCCCTACAGGACCCTGACACTACCCCCCTACAGGATCCTGACACTACCCCCTACAGGATCCTGACACTACCCCTACAGGACCCAAACACTACCCCCTACAGGACCCTGACACTATCCCCTACATTACCCTATTTGACCCTTTACAATACCCCCTACGGCGACTTGCACTACTCCCTACATCACCCTCTATTACCCACACATTACCCCCTACAGGGCTCTTACACGACCCCCCCCCCCCAAATTATCCTCTCCATTACCCCTACACCTACATTTTCCCTACAATTTACCCGCTTACTTTCTTCCCATAGGGGATTGTCCTTGTTGGCGTTATCCAATGCCTGTCTGGTTTACCCCTTTTTCGTGCTGTCAACGCTGTCTGTGTTAATGAATTTATTAGAATCTGTGACATTTGCTGTTATACGTAGCGGCCTCTAGTGGCTGCAAAGGGTATAGGTGTAGATATGACTGCATAGTGCATGCAGCCGCACGTAGGAATCGAGTAGCGTCGATTCAAATACTCGCGATTTTATGTTTAGGAATCAATTATATTCCATCGTACGTCTAAACCGTGTGGTTGCCTTCGCCTGTGTGGTTACCCATATGTGGTTACTGACGTGTGCTTACCGTACCCTTGGTGGTTGCCGTCCTGTAATTACTCTCTGGGGTTACCTACCCCTACGTGGTTACCCTTGCAGTGTGGTTAACCACCACCCAATGTGGTTACCCTACCTCGTGTGATTACCTCCCCCGCCCCGTGTAGTTTCCTGCCCCCCCCCACCACTCCGTGTGCCCCCCCCCCCCCCCTCGTGTGGGAGGTGAGGGGGGTGGCTACTGCCCGCAGCTGTCAGTGTGAGCCGCGCCGCCACAGCACTCGGCACACACGTGACTCGTCATTACATAAGCAGCGCGTGTTTACTTCCACTCCCTGGTGGGGGGCACGATCACGAAGGCGGGGTGGTGGGCCCCCCTCCCCCCCACCTAGGTAGCGAGGACATAGCAGAAGCCCCCCGTGCCCCCCCCCCATCTCCCCCCTCCCACGCGTGCGGGTGTTGATTTGTAATCCGGTGTGAATCTTGAGATTAACTGGGCTCCCCCCGTCGCCCCCCCCCACCCACCTGTCCCTGTGCCCTTGTGCCTCCACAGATCCCCGCCACTACCACCCGCATCCTACTCAGTCACTTCAACTGGGACAAGGAGAAGCTCATGGAGAGGCGAGTGGGGGGTGGGGGGGTTTGCTGCGGGGTTCTGGGGGGTCCTAGGGGGTCCTGGGGAGTGGGTGGTCTCTGGTAGGGAATTAGGGAGTTGGCTTGGAGGGACCCGGGCTGTGTGTGTGTATGTGATGGATGAGTCTGGTGGAGTGGGGGTGAGTGTGGGATGAAGTGGGTAAGCGTGTTGGTGAGTGTGCCAAAGTATGTTGAGTATGGGGAAGTGTTTGGTGAGTGTGGTATAGTGTAGGTCAGTATTGGTGAGTACGAGTTGGTGTGGCTGACTTGGGCCCTGGAAGCGGCGTCTGTGTGTGCGTTGAGCTCGGGGGGGAGGTACACAGGCTTTAACCCCTGTGCTGTGCTATGTGTGTGTGATGGTGAGTGACCCTGTGCCGTGTGAGCGAGTGACCCCAATGCGGGACGGAGAGTGACACCGGTCCGTGCGACGCAGGTATTTCGATGGCAACCTGGACAAGCTGTTTGCCGAGTGCCACGTGATCAACCCCAACAATCGCAAGCTGCGCTCGGCGCGGCCCACGTCCACGCGCTCCTCCTCCCAGGAGGTCTTCTGCTGGATCTGCTACCTGACCTTCCCTCCCTCGGTCAGTCTCTGCATGTTCGCTCGCTCGTGTCTGTGTGCCGCAACACGCGTTTAGCCCATACACATGCGTAGAGACCCATAGGCTGAGATAGAGACCCATAGGTTTACATTGAGACCCATAGGCTCACGTAGAGACCCATTGGCTCACGTAGAGACCCATAGGCTCACGTAGAGCACCCATAGGCTCACGTAGAGACCCATATGGGCTCACGTAGAGACCCATAGGCTCACGTAGAGACCCATAGGCTCACGTAGAGACCCTAGGCTCACGTAGAGACCCATAGGCACGTAGAGACCATAGGCTCACGTAGAGACCATAGGCTCACGTAGAGACCCATAGCTCACGTAGAGACCCATAGGCTCACGTAGAGACCATAGGCTCACGTAGAGACCCAT